TATCTTAGAGTAATTAATTGATGTGTTGGTATTATAATTAAATAATGTAAGCAAATAAAGGAAATAGAGTCCTAAAGGGCTGTCCATAAATAACGTTCATACTTGAAGGGAGGGTGGGGTTATGACTAATTGAACAATGGGACTAGGGGTCGAGTTTCAGTAAACGTTCGTTTATTTCATTAAATTTTATACACTTTATGCATTCTATTGTATTTATTTCAAAATTTCTTGTATGTTTCGTTTCTTCTTATGTTAATGTGATAAAGGTTTTAAGAGGGTCGAGCTTTGTTGGATGTCCGAAGAGGGGAGGAGTTTACGAACACTTGAACAAACTGGGTCGAAAGGGGAAAATAAAAATTTCAAGAAAACTCCGGATGAAATTTATGTACTGTACAACTCCCAAGACAGAGTAAATTCTATCTTTAAACATACATAAAATGTACTGTACGTAGTGCAATTGTGTTCATATGCCACATACATGCATTTAATACAAATTTTAACTCTTAGGAGTGACCACAAAAAACACTAAGTTCTGTTTCTTGTCTTTTCACTTTCTCGGCTGTTATATATAGGCCTAACAGAGGGAAAGTATAAAGATCAAGATTTTTTCTATTAACAGTGAAAGAACATAACTTAATTCTAAAAAGATGCATGTATTTTTAATGGTCATACAAAATATACACTGCACAAACGCTGTCAGCGTGTTACTAATAATTAAAATAGTTGTTAATTATCCTACAGAATCTATTAGTACTTTTGGTGGTGCCCTCGAGTACTAGCGGCAGGTTATAATGGGTTTTGTTCAGTCTTCTGGAAATTCTTCGAAAATTAGCTCAATCCAGTTCTCTAAGCAAATGACTTAAATGCTTTTCAAATTACTTGAACTCCAATTTTGAGAAAAGTTCACAGTGGAAAACGTTTCTTGTGTCGCCTGTGCCCAAAGTTTGTACGAAATTACTGCTGAATCTCCACCAGTACATCAATGCTTTCTATACTTACCGACGTCGCAGTAAACTTTTTTACTTCAAATAACTTTAATACGTAAGTAATATATTTTAAAAGTAAAATTTTTATAGTTTTTATATCCTTTTCTGCTTTCTCCTTCTAATATATGGCAATATCAAATTGAATTTCCCATTGGACGCAACAGGAGAGAGTTAGTAGTTAACTATTACATTACTCACAAGTTTTAATACTAATGAATTACCATAATCTTAACTATAGTTTTTGGGGTAGGAACCATTACGTAATGATTCTTCGGGCTCGGAGAAAAATCCTCAGCTCTCCCTTTCGATATATTAAACTTAGAACATGGTTTTTATTTACTAATTGCAATGGAAAACATAACAGTAAGTTTACTATTACATAACATTATCATTTTCAATTCTCGGGTCTCTATTTTCTGCCTCTAATCATTTTACTTTATGTTTTCTCTATAATTATTTTTTCATAAGGCGAAATGTTTATTTAGTCATATAATAAACATAAAATGTAGATGTAATTCTATTGATATTTTCAAAAATATCGCGTAGAAATTTAAATTTTACATTCTTACAATTTTTTTTTTTTTTTGAAATTATTATATTTTAATTTATTATGTAGGATATTTTTTCAAAATATGCTGTTTATAGCGTATAAACAATTTTTTCACCTGTATTCTATGAATAAATTTTTAAAGTTTCGTTTGTAATTGAGGTCATCTCCCGTGGACATTTTAGTTTCTTAGAAAGTCAGCTTGATCTTGAAAGCTTGTACTATACATTGATGTCTATAGAATCTCCCATTCGTTACGCTGTCAATCGACAAGATGGGTAAACTAATTTAACGCTGCACGTATACTGTATTACAGTATATACAATAAATACAGGCCTGCATATCTTATATACAGTAAATTCAATTTCACTTAAATTATATTAGTGATAAATTCTCTATCATATCAAATTTTTCATAATATCATTTACTATTTATATCGCTAATTTAAATGAGGATGATGCTTTTTATCAATTTTTCAGACTATTTTTTTTTAATCGTTTCATTTCAAATATTCTAGAAGATTTTAAAAATAATTTAAAAATTAGAAGTTAAATTTATGGAATTATATAAAGATTTTAAAAAAAATATTTAGCTTTTTTCATAAGAGGATTTTCATGCAATGATAGGAAAATATTTCTTTTACTTTAATTCAATTAATTTGCAGTAAACACGTGGAATGAGTAGCTGCAACTTCGTTTGTTTCATCTTAAATAGAGTTAGTTATAGGAAGTCATTTCTCTATTAATAATCTTATCATTCTTCCCACTAAGCTAATATAGATCCCATACTCCATTCTAGAAACTAAACTAGATAGCAATAAACCAAGAGCTCCTTCACTTATCCAAAAGCCTGTGTTACATTTCCCTTGTCTTTCTATATCCTCGGCTTATGTACTGCACACTATATTTTAGAATTATAATTTATAGGATTTTTATAAATAGAACAATACCTTGTTTCCTTAGCATAATCTATTTAAAGCTGAAAAATTTTTAATTATTTAACTTTAATAAGACCACAATGGTCTTTTGGTCCAGTTTCCTCAATAGAGGACCCGAATTAAATCTTTACATAAATACTGTAATAAGAAGAAAGTAATAATAAAAGTTCATTTGTGATTGATTCGTCTCCATCTCATTCCTCCGAGTCTCTGAAAGGCTCTATAAGAAATTTATATTTCTTCAATTGAAATTCTATAAGCATCTATTTAAAATCTTCCATTTTTCATAATTAAATACAAATTATTTTTTATTTATGCGAGAATTTATTTTAGACTTTATGAAATAAATTCTTTTCTACATTTATTATGTGAGAACTTTTAAAATAAAGAACTATTTAATTAATTCTTTAACAAATATAGAGTTGAGGTGCCATTTTTATCATCATAATTCAGGAAATATATATTTTAATGGTTCATATTTAAATATTTTAAAGTTTTATTCGGATCGATTTAAACTTTCTACGAACAGACTTCGATCCACTGAAAATCGTAGAGAAGAATTGGAATAATTAAATGAATTTATCTATTAAAAATTTGTTAGTTTTCAGCAGTTTTTTGTGAAGAGTGTTTCCGCCTTTTTAACTTTTAAATGTCGGTTTTAACTCTTTTAAGTTGTTTTCTCCAAGACTTATCTATCATATAAGACTTCAGACTTTAAATGTTTTAATCTTAAAAGAAAGGCTGATAAAATAAATTTTAAAAGTGACTTTTCATTAATTAAATAGCTTACTTCGGAAGTAAATCTTTTAGTAACTAAAAAGATATAAAATGACAAGAACAAACAGCGCACAAGTAAATAATTCACTTATTTTTTGTTTTTCATTTAATCCTTATGGCAAAATTAAATTTATTTATTTATATCTATTTTTATTTTTCTTAAATTCTTTCTTCGATTCAAATGATTTCGCATAATATTTGCATTTCCTATTCGATTTGTTTGACTTCTGAAATAATAATAATTATTATTATTTATTACATAATAATAATTATTATAATTATTTTACTGGATCGATCCATTGTGAAATTTTTCTTCTGTTTTTAAAATTAACCAAGATGAGAAAAATTAAATTTTTAAACGGATTTTTTTCGTTATTCTTACCTTTACTAAACTTATCAGTCATTTAATTAACATACTAATCACTGTATTGTTTTTATCAATGCGGCAATTTGTACTGTGTTAAAAGGTCAAATTATAACTAATTTCTTGTAAATATTTTTAATTTATATTACAATAGGCAAAGAATGTTTCCGACGAATACTTTGCATTCTCTGGCTTGTATAATCCACTTTACTAACAAGATTAAGTGATAATCCCATGCAGCTGCCTTTAAAGCAAACTATTGTTCCTTTGCAGTTGATAAGCCGCTCAATTATACTTTCTTGCCGATTGCGTGTTGTACGGTTCGTGTTAAGAGATCAGAAATTATGTTAAAGTTGCAATAATACCGTGTTTTTTAATGATAAATGCTAGAGTATTTTTAACCTGGTTTAAAAAAAATCGATAGTAAAGTAGTTCTATTTGAATATTTGCATAAGTAAATTATTAAAGCCGCAATAAGCTTAATAAGTTTAAAATTGAAATCAGTTTTGTTGAAGGAGTTTTAAAGCCAGCTACTTTATTTTTATTATTGTAGCAATTTTGAATAAGCCTGAATCAAGGCGCAATAAGCGATGGCGTTAAAAGAGAGCTAAGTATCAAAGATAATAAGTTTATTTGGAAAAAAGTTACGTTGCCTCGTTGTTGGCAATTTATATTCTGGCATTAGTTAAGGGAAAAAAATGAAAAATTATAGTTTGTCTGCAGAACATATAGAGGTCGAGAGCCAGTGCAAATGATGTAGTCCCAAAGGGGACAGATCATCGAGGGAAACAAAGAAGTTTGTAGTTTAACGGTTGAAGTGATGAATGGCTCGGGCAATCTCCCTAAATGAATGCAAGAAGCAAGCTAAAGGCGATGGAAAAATATTAGCAGCATCTACGGTAGAATCTATCATTCGATGAAACAACAAATATAATGCGGAGGAAAACAAGGGTTGTAGCATTGTGCGGCCACAATATCTACAAAACTTAATTCGCGCCAACAAAATGATATAGATAATAAATAATTTCGGGCAGTGCTAGGCTTTTTAGCTAGAAGCAGAAAAGAAGGAAAAATCAATGTTTACAGACCACGTGCACCAACAGCTGATGCTAGATACGATGTTGATATTATGCTAATCTCTCCTAAGTGGGCGTAAATTGTATGACTACTGCATTCGCCTCCATTGGGCAGTTGGCAACGTCACGATTCGCTATTGGACGTGAGGCGGTTCCGAGGCGTGCCTAGTGTCAGTCACCTGTTGGCGCGCCTACCAACCGTTCCCAAGGGGCGTATTCCTGAGGGAGGCGCCTGTTACTTCGTTCGCTGGGCTGCGCACAAAAGCCAACCCCGAGAGGGTTGGTACAGCCAAATCGCCATTTACTTTACCAACGTCTGAGCGACTAGCACACCACCCGTGTGTGATTAGATGTGCCGACTGTAACTTTGGTCTGAAGTGGAAGAGGCAATCAGTGCTGCTGTAACTGAGACGTCCACGCAGGGGATAGTATAGACGGCCCCTCACTTTGTCAACAACCGGGAGTGTGGGTAAAGCGCACACCCATCCTGCTCAGACAACTCTTAAGGGGCCACTCAGTCGTCTATCGGGCTACGTCGTGCTACGGCGCTATGGACATTCGGTCCTAGTAACTTCTCACCTGGTCATTGCTACGTTGCAATTACCGACAATTCGGTAATATTAATGAGGTAGCGATCGCAGCCGTCGAAAGCTCGGAAATTTTATTTGGTGGACTGTAAGATTTCTATACAACAACCTGTACGGCCTAACAGAAGATTGTGCCGAGTACGGGGGTGAAGGCGCCGTGTGGAATAGGATACTTAGGCCCATGTTTGGACTCCAAGACACGGGACTCCAACCAAGGGGTCCCATGGCGACTTTGAAGGAAGAACCTCTCAACACCCAGTTAGGAAGTGTCAGAGGTGGTTGGATGCAACCCGCTATGTTAGACCAAAATCCAACCAGGTAAGTAATGATTTTGTTCCCGATTGACTAAGACCAACATGTGGAGAAAATGTAGCGCCGGTTGATAAAAGAACGCTATGTCCCAGAGGTCGGTTTTGCAGAGTCGTGAGTCGTTGCTTAATAACCCTCGGGCCACTTAATGACCCGTTTCGCCTTCAATTTGAGTCTGGGGACCTTGTCTTTCGACAAATTGACGACTACACTTCACCGACTGCGATTCTTTTCATTTTTCTAACATTAAATGCCACGTCCAGGCCCACAATGCTACTCTTTACCCGCCGTTTACCTAAGTACTAATGAAGATCGCGCTTGATCTTCGTTCTTCCTTCTATTTTGCCTTTTTCTCTTATCCAGCTGCACGGGATAGATCACGCATCGCTGTTAAGCAAAATCTCCAGTGGTTTGTATTCAAACCCTGCGTCGAGTTTCGCGCTTAATGTTTAACTTTCGATCTTTACTTTTGCAAAAACAAACAGAAAAATTGGCGTCGACACAATTTAATAAAGAACGATGTTTATAAACAAAACTTTATTATAAATACGCATCCTTTGGTAGATTGCCGAGATACGCTGATAAGATATTTTCATCTTGTTACAGCATCGGGTTAGGTCGTGCCCATTTCGAAAAACAGCCTCCATCCAACTTAAGGAAGAGCAACTTTTTCCATTTTGTGATTGCCCTTTATGACAAATCGGGACAGCCTGTCGAAGTGGAGAGAACAGCATTTGTTGGATTCGTCGAGAAAGACCAGGTAAGTTACACCCTATTTTACATAGTTTTTGCATTCCTAAAATTTCCTATTTGATAAAATATCTCCTAAAAACACCCTAAAAATGGTTGTCAGCATTTTAAAAATCGTTTAGAACTTGTAAATGTCGTAAAGTATAAGATATCCTTGTAAATAGCTTAATTTATCTTAAAAAAAACTTAAGAATATGGCTTATAAATCTAAGAAAGTTTGATGTTAATGCTGTCTTGAAAAACCTAAAGACATAGCCAGATGTCATAGGTTAGCATTACATAAGGAGCTTTAAATGCGATAACAGCGATTATATTTTGTTTTTAGTCGTAAAAATATCAAAATTTCAGCTAATAAATCAAGTATACAAATGATTAAGTTATTGTTAAAAATCGTGTTAATTAAATAAAATAGATAAATGTGATGTATCAAAGTCATTGCCTCCGTGCTCTGATTTAATCTTAGATTTATTACATTTAAAATATTTGGAAAGGAATAATTTGTTTTCAAATAAAGGAGCAAAGAAGCTAGCAAAATGAAAAGTAAACTTGTTATCTTAATTGTTAAAGTGATAGGATTGTCTTGGTAATAAATTTTCAACTAGAGAAGAAGAAGTGGAAAAAAAAGGAAAAATGTGACTCTTTCAATTTCCTGTTATCACTCAAAATATCAGAATGTTTTACATATGATAGATAATTTTTTTAGATATTTGAATATGTATCTAATATATTTTAAATTAAGAATGACACGGCTGACATTCTATCCTATTCTGGACCAATGGAGATTTCCTTTGTTCTCTTTCAAACGTACAATGTGACATGGTGTCGATTCGAAGGTAATATTGTTTGTCAACTTATTGATTCTTACTTGTCACCACTCTATATTTCTAAATTGAACTGTGTTTAAACTGTCAACAAATCTGTCATACTTGTACGTAATAATATTCCATTCAAACCAGTAAGAAAACTACAAATATATATATATATATATACATCTCCCCGATGCTATGTTGATCAAGTCAGAGATGGAGTAACATGTGAAAGGAACTCGATAAATTATAAATATATAGTCTAGTTCAGAAGCATATTTAAAATGTAAACAGGTTCTACATAGAATTATAACAAAGCACTGCCGTTCGAAATACTTTAGAATCTCCCATTCCTGCTTAATTTTTAACATTATGTATTTTCCAAGCTTAAAATCGAGTAGATTATTCAAGCCGGATGGAAAGAATAGCATTTCTTATTCTCTTATTTAAAGAGTGACATGATTTAATCTGAAGATCGTCATCGTTTGACCCAATAAATTAGGAAAAAAAAAACGAGATATTTCTGACCAATGATCGTGACGATGGATTAATGAGCCAAACTGTTTTTCCACCAACATCCTTTAATTCCTATCCATGCTAACGACTCTTGGGAGACTATTGAAATCCTCAAATCTCCTCAAATCCCCATAGATAATAAGCTAGTTTACTCCCTGTGGGATTCGTTGTAACTATTAATTAACATTACTCCATACAAGGGTATTAAGTGGTTGTATCGTCTAAACGATACAACTTATATAAATCTCGAAAGAGAAAATACAGTTTTTTCTCTTGGTATATTTAAGACTTTTGTAATTTATTCTGATCATTAATGCGTTCAAATGTAAACAAGTCCTTGGACCAATTAGTGATTTTTCAAAGATTCTTTTCTCTAAATCTTCGATTGTATTCTTATTAATCCATAATTAGCTCATCTATTAATAACTGTTTTCGACTCAATTTTTCTTTCTAACAATATTTGTAATATTGTAAAACTCTTCGAATTATCTTTAGAGATTAAAAATGTGTTTCACTAGTGCTTTTAAATGATTTAATAAAGATTTTTCCTTCTTATAAAACTTTTCTAGCTACATAAAGGCCTATAAACTATTTATGGGATCTTTCTTCTTTAACGTCGATTTTTTTCTCGCTTTTTCTCCCAACAACTACACATTTTAATCTTAAAATTCTTTATAAATATAATTAATTTGATATTAAAATATATTCTCCACTGATTTGCTATCCAGAAAAAATGTATTTTAGTTAATAAAGCGCTTGCAAAATATTCAAATCTTTCTCATACACTTCCTATGTAACCTGTGAAACTACAAAAAAAAAATCAAAAACAAAAGAAGAAGAGTTACAGTTACATTAATATACGAATAAGCAATGTTTAACGTGTATTTTACAGGAAATGGATGACTCTACAACTGACACTAACTTTTACGATAGGATAGAATCGAGTCGGTTGTTGCAATTAACCTCAAACTAGACTTATTTGCAATAACCTTAAGCTATATAAAACTTTAAATCATGTTTAGGGACCGTAAAGACGCAAAGTATCTTTTAAAAAATCTTGTTAAGAAGATAGAAACCAAAGTAAAATAGTAGCAAATGCCTTATTGGTCGTTAAGAAATGTGGTCGAAAGGAATAACAATGACATCATTCGTAGCTCGATTAGCTAAGTCTGATTATTTTTTTTCCATCAGATAATATTCTCTCATTATTATTATTATATATTTTTTTCAATTATTTATCAATTTTCTATAAATTTTCTATAAAAATCTTAATTTCTCGAGCGCTTCTTAACGATATTTGCAATGTTATAAACAAATTAACCATAGATTAAATAGCGCAAAACTTATAAAAACTTTCCTGTTTTAAACTAAAATTTCTTCTTTTACATTATAAAAATTAATATTATTATTAAATAAATCTATTATATTTTATAAAATAACGATTCTTTTAAGCTTAAATTTATATATATTTTTAATTTCGAAAGAAGCTTTTCGGATGATTTTTTATTCGATATTGCATTAAACTTTTCATTCCGATAGCTTAAAAATCGATGATAAAATTTTATTTTCTTCAAATTTTCTTTGTGAAATGTATACTTTAAAAATATCACATTCGACTGTACCAAAAATAGAATCATTCTACTTAAAGTTATAAAGTAGGCCTACATTAAATAGGATTTTCTCTACATTATGTGGAATTATAAAAATCCAAGCAATAGAAAGTTCTATAAATGTAACAACTGTTTAATTATTCAACACCATTTATCACTGATTCTATATTCTAAAAATAATACAGACTATGTAATTAATTTTCTTGCTCTAAATATAATTACTAATTAAAGAGTTTGGATGAATTTAATATATATATATATATTAAATTCATAATTGAATTTAAATATATTTTAAGTTATTCGAAGCTTTTAATTTAAATAAAATAACATATTTTTGCATATTTTACTTCATAAATATTACATATAAAGTTAGAATTTCGTGCTTAAAAGAAGAATTTATCGAGAAGATGTAGAGGATTTTAGATAAATCAGTAATTTTTTTTCTATGTGCCATTACGTTAAAATGAGACATCATCCCATAAAAAACAAGAATTTCTTTAAATTAGATTAATATCAAGTAATAGACCATCTATAAACGAATATCTTAATAAAATTCTGTAATTTATTCGCTTGATACGCTTTTCGGGAGAGATTCAATAGGAAGAATTTAAAAATAAATAAATAAGATATCGAAGTTTATAAATATTTCATAGGAGATATAAATCCTAAATTATTTTTTTTCTCCTCTTAAAAGTTTAGTAAATTGATTTTTAATCCTGAATTAAAAATAAATATGTACTGTACAGTACTGTACATTCTGCATTCACCCTTTTGTAAATCTATATACATTGTAGAAATTATTAATACTAATTACACTTAAAAAATCGTATATCCGACGTAAATTTGACGTCATTTTTTAGAATTTCGCATTGTAAAACTGAAGTAGTGATGTCAAATTGACGTAAAAATGTACACCATCTCAATCAATCGAATAGTTAACAGTATAAAAAGTATAGAAAGAAGGTTATCATCAGCATTTTTCCCTTTATTTTGAATGAGTTATAGTGTTTTATATCCTATACAGAGTTAGTATAGAGCACGATTAGTATCAAATACCAGATATATATGAAGAAAAATGTAACAAATTATTGGCTGTTTGGTTATCGGGAGTAATAACAGATAGGTACACTAAATAAAGAAAGCTTTCCTAGATCTTGTTTCAACGATGAGTCACTATTTCACCGATTTCGATAAAGAATGTTCCCTAATACTCTTGGGAGTATCTCCATAATTAAGTCTCTCCATGTGTTGGATTAGGGAGTGCAGTTTACTGTTCCGCCAAGATCAGCACTCCGTTGCTGTGCAATATCACAATATCTAGACATATACCTATACTGCGAATCGGAATGTATACTTACCTAGATTAAAGCACACTGCAACTAGACTAGGGCTGGAGGGACTCGTCCAACTGATATACGGAGCAGGTTATGAGCACAAATTCTCCAACTATATAATTATTTAGCTTTGGATCCTTTGTGCAATCGAATTTTATTTAAAAAATCTTTAAAATTCTTCTCATTCTATTAATTTATAACGAAAAAATATTCTTATAAATTCTCCTTTAAATCTTATATATTTTAACTTTTAATGCGAAGATTTTAATCTTAAATTTCCACTTAAAACACACACCTGTTGTACTTCATTTAGAAATTTCTGCGTAAAAAATCGTGGTTTTTTTACTATAAATCATTATGTATATTTGATTTTGTTTGTTAAGATTCATACAACTGTCATCGAGACTCTGAAAATCTTTAATAATTCACAAGAATCTATAAACAGTTCGTCCTAACAAAAAAATTAACAAGTATTGATAGAAACTCCAATCCTTTACATTTTTTTATATAAATAATATATTTGATATTGTAACTCTATATTTAAATGAACAGATAACAAAGTTTTCCCTTTTAAAATTTTAATTTAAGAACCCAAAAAACAGCCAAGTGAATCTGTATTTAGTTAGAGATAAGCTTCAAATTTCTTCCAAATTAACTTTCTCGTAGCAAATTGTAAAATGAAATTATAAAATTTCGTCTAAACACTTGTTAAAATTTAAAATGAATTATAATTTTCACCCGAAACTGTATTAAATAACACATTTTTTTTGAATATATGAAACAATTTTTTCACGTTTCGAATTTAAAATTGGGATACGCCTGCATCTAAGAGTAGTTTTATAGTGTTTTCTTAATTACACTCAATTTAAATAAATTATTAACCATTTTCCCCTCTAAAAATCCCTTTTAAAAGTGAAAATAAGTGTAAAAATTGGAGAGTTCTCGGCTCTTTCGAAAGGAAATTTTGTAAACTGCAAACTACTTACCGTATATTAAATACTTTGATATCATAATTTTACTTTGCAATAATCTTTTGGAATGAAATTCTAATCATAAATGTCTAAAATAAAGTTTTAATTAAGGCAATTAATTATACAGGATTGTTGGAGCATTTTCGTTTATTATTGTAATTTTTTTTATATTTTGATTCTTATTTTTTTAACAAATTAGAACAAGTGTAATGAAACTTAATATATAAATATATCTAGTTTACAATAAGAGTAGTTAATGCAGGGTGAAGATTTTAATTCCTGGAGCCATCATTTAAAGGAGGACACATTGTATACAGTAACGTTTCGAAATTAATTCGATTATAAATTACACGTTTGTCACGTGAATAACTTTAAAGTAAATAAACTCATTTTACAGTAAAAATACTAATTTTCTAAGCTTTATAAATAAGTTTCTCTTGTATTAATGTACTTATATTTTTAAAATTATATAAAAATATAATTTAAATTAATTTTTCCAATAATTTACGTGTAAATAATTAAACATTTTTCTTGAAAAATAACGATGTGTCAGGTTGTAAGATGGAGTGTAATTTAATTGTTTACGTAGCTTTTTAATTAAATAATACGCAATAAAATTGTAATAATTAAGAAAATTAAAAATTTTTAATTGTTGTAATTAATAAAGTTTTTATGTAGAAGTTAAGTAAAAATTTCAGAGAGAGGAAAAAAGTAGAAAATAAATTCGTTCCTATCAACATGTTGTTTAAATGAGAATGAAATGTTTTACATTATATATAACACATGCGAGTTATTAGGATGTATCCTGCTATATAAACGTGTATCACACAATTTATCCATTTAGAAATCAGTACACGGATGTCTGGCTCTTGAGTCAACACGCCTAAGGATAACTCCGCGGCTTTATAGTTGATGTAGATACAAACTTAATAAATTCACGTCTATATTATGTAATTCCAAGTATTATAATTATAAATTTTAATATTCTATTATGTGTTGCTACTTATATTTACAGTTAATAAACTTTAGTTTCGAGTGCAAACTTAATGAGTTTTACGCCAATTTTTCATACTTTTATTCATACCTAAGGTTATATACTTGATATTAGGGTTTAGCAATAGTTTTATTAAGGTGTTTAAAGTGTTTTGCCAGCGTAAAAGTCGATTCGAATGACTTGTAAGTTAGAATTAGAGCGGAGTTTTCGTAGGAGAATGCGAAGGAAAACGACTGACGAAAAATGGATCGTCTATAATTCCATAACTCAGAATCAGTTTAATCAATCTTTCTAGTAAAACGAGGGATAATTTAGAGAGAGGAGGGAGAAGAGCGATTTATCTTCCAGACGCCCATTTAGGTGCAGCGCGCACGTTTGTATACATGTATCTGTGTAACTTATGTACATGTAACGGAACCAGCAAAACCCAATTTCGGTTCGTGAGTAACCGTTTTCTCCATTTACATTGGATGGCGGGAAGAGGTTGCCCGGGGCACAGTTTCTCTCCCTTTTCCAATCTGCAACATTAAACATTGGATTTGTGCTGGCGGTGTAGTCAGCAACGCAGCCGCCCAGTTTCGGCTAGCTCCTGGGTATTACCAAGCATGGATCTTATTTGTAGACTGCCACGCTCCGGATAATTACATGGATAGAGCTTTTAATGAGAAGTTTCTTATCGAGTTAAGCTAATGACTCCAGAATAATTAAATGTGGTCAGGCTGTTCTTTTACGTGGATTAATTCCCTCTTGCTAGTGTATTTATTATATCTCATTTGTGGCGAAGTTTTCCTGGCTGGTGTCCAAAGCCGGCAGATAACTGCGGCCAGGAGGGTGGAAGTGGGTTGCTGCATCCCTCTCGCGCTACCTTGATATCGGTTCCCTTTTAATGGAGCAAGAAAGGATTGTTTCTGACGAGTTTCCCAAGGAGAAAAGACGCTCCAACCTTATCTTGGTTCTTCCCCACTCCGACTCGCTCACGGTTGGATTTCGCTTCTTTCCCGACATGTCGAATATTACCTAATTTTTCCTTCCTCCCGAAATTAAATTTACACATTCGTACTTAAACGGAGCAATAATTAAAAAGGTAGATTTTACGACGCGGCGTAAACATCTCCCTTCATAATGTTATTAACTATAATAAATACCTGTAATCTCGCTATACCCTTATATCCGACCGCATCGTGTAGTGGTTCTTAATTGCAGTTTGATGATTAAATAATTTGCCAGGGAGGGATAATAAAAAAATTAAACAAAGCGATAAAAACATTTCATGGCTTTTTGCAAATCCTATACAAGTGATGATAATTAATAAGCATCGGCGTTAGTGGTAATTAGTGTTTTTTTTGCAGTCCTGTGGTCTTTTTAGTAAATCCCAACTACCGGGTGAAAACGTATAAATATATAGATATAAGACGATAAGCGGTTTATTAGGCTTTTACAGTAAATTAATGCTCCTAATAGTCCATTACAGGCTGTAGAGAGCTTGCACACAGTTCCATATTAATAATTCACAGGACTTGTTGACTCTTTCAGACCTTGTAAGAAAAAATGAATGCTAAATGTTGAAATAATAATAAAGTCTTACACGTTAGAATATTTTTGATTATATATTTTGATCAAAATTACATCTTGTTTGTATAAAGAATGATATTTTTTAAGTTAAAACTGTAGTTAACAAACCTATATTTTACTCTTACTCGAGAATTACCCGTTGTTTATATACAGCGTGTGAATAAGCTATTCCGAGTAACATTTATCTATTAAATCTAGAAGAAAAGTTCTGTAACATACGAACGACGTATGTAAACATTAATTATTTGTGTGGGGTATTAAAAAAACCAGTTTTAATGCCAAGCAAGTAAGGTGGGCAGCAGTTCATAAGCTCAGCAAACTAGTAATGCCCGACTGTCATCAAACAGTAAAGCTGTTTGCCCAGGTCCCCGCCGTCTGTTTATAATAAGTTGGCGTATAGATGTGTGTGTGTGTTCGCTTCCTGCTTCTGATAATGGAGACAGAGGAGGTTAACTGGCTGGTTCTGCCAACACCGTCACATCATCACCCTGTCATTACGGTCTTCCTCTTGTTGACATTGTGTCGTACTGTCGGGAGCCAGTGACACAATCTTTGTAATTGTCTCCTTGTGTTAGTCTCTCTTTTCCCATTTGTGTGATCTCTCAGTTTGGTCACCTCCTCGCCCCTTGTGGAATTGCTACTGCACGGGACGGAAGATAAAAGACTGAATAATTGCCCAGCAAAAATAACCAACATTCTTAATTGAACATTAATTTATAAATAAATATAAAAGACTTACAATAATGGGAGAATTCTACGTGATAAATAATCTATGCTTATTATTTAAACAATTATACAATTCCATCACTAATTAGCCAATATTTAGAAAACACCGTCATAATTTTTAACATAATGAATATTTTATTTTTATCATTTTACTTACTTGCAGGAAACAGAAGGCCAAAAAACGAACAACGGCATCCACTATAGACTCCAACTATTATATGCCAGTGGTGAGTTTTACAATTTATTTATTAACATCATTTAATAACTCTTTTATCTTCTCTTAAATATTTTATAAAGCTAATTTTATTAAAAAATTCCACTGTAATTTTTTTTCCAGTAACGATTTACTTATTCAAATTTAATATTTTTTTTTTTAAGTTAATATATTATTTAAGACGTAAACAATTTTATTTTTATGATTAATATTTAAAAAATTGTATAAAAGATTCCTGTTAACTGTCTTTAATCTGTTTTGGATAGAAATTATTAATTAAATACTTAAAAACCCTAGCAAAATTACTAAAAACGCTTTAAAATTAACGCGTAGAAATCGTATAGTTACAGATAAAAATTGAAGTTTTATTTTTGGAAAAACCTCTTTTTTTTTTTTTACTTAATTCTTAAAAATGTCGATATGACCTATCTTTAATCAATAAAGATTTTAATTTCAAATTCGTGACATGCTCCAGTTATTCGTTTAACACAGTAATTAGTTTGGAAACAACATAGAATATGTGATTGAATTTCAAATTCCTACAAGAAAAACGTCCACTCAAAAAATAAAATATAAGAAATTTTCATAAAATAAAATCCCTAAATTGTAATTATTTTAAAAAAAAAAAACCAGATGAATTTATAATTGAGCATATTTGGTGCAAAAACTTAATTTCCTCTCGCTACTTTACAAAAAAAAAAAGACTTTGTATAACAACCTTATCGCTAATATGTAAATGTTATTCTTGAGTTATACATAATTTAATCTTGTTTCCTTTACGGAATAATTGTATTTTAGCAGTCCAAATCGAAATATTGACTACACAATTATATTATACAGTTAATTGCACATTCGATGCTTATAATAGTATACAATACAATAGTGTTAAGATGCAAGCATTTTTTTTTCGACAGTATCCTTAACGCTACAAGTGGAATTATTTTTATAATAATCGGACCACACCCGAAAAAGCCAGCAACGATAATTTTTAAAATTCTTCGTCAGACCACTCCTCCTTCCCCACTCTTAATTGTGTCACGTGACGTGCGTCCACCCAATAATTTGAACCGTGAAGTTCCATCGATGCGCACTCTTGCTCTGTAATTAAGCAAGGCGGTGTTAGAATATGAATATTTTAGCTAGTACCTATACCCTCTAATAGATTCCCTCCCTCTATTTTAAGCCCATTCTGTTGTCGTAGTAACCGAAATGGACTGTTTCATTTTTTTATATATTTTTTATTTTTTTTTTTTACCTCGTATCCGTGCTTCCATTCGAAGATCAATTATGGATCTTTTGGTGGAAACACGTGGAAAACCAAGAAGAGACGGGATGCACTCGGTATCGGATCAAACTCGGTGTTATAATTATATTATTCCCGAGTAAAGCCATCTTTTGTAAGCACCATTGGTCGAGATGTTAGTGTCGATCTGCACTTATCAATGAAGTTAGGTAACGAAAACGATACGGGCCATGTTCCATTACCGTTGCCCTTGGCAGACCGTACATATCCCTGAGGAGTCAGAACTGACTCCCAGGAGAACTAAACTGAGCACTACCTGTCATCGAGCACTACTGTCCACGTGTCTCGACGAATCTAGCAAAGTAGACGGTTGAAATCAACCGACTTTCTATTATCAGTTAAGTTAAAATTTGACAGAAACATTACTTTAAGAAATTTTTTAAACATCCTCGGGGACAGATTTAACCCAAGAGAATTCTTTCCCAAAAAAAAATCCTAGTCTGGATCAATCTGTTCGGATTTAATTTAACCCGAAACTTTAAAGCACTTTATCCTTTCTGTAAACGGCAATTATATCGTTCGACCAATAAAAAAAAAAATGTAACAGACAAAAGAGAAAAAAATCAAAATTTAAAGCGTTTTGCCCATAGAATATAAGATTTTATGCTGTATATAACATTCAAAGATACTACAGTAAATGCGTATATGCTGGAGACAGAAAAATGAATGACTCCCTTATGGAGTCTTATAAACAGCAAAACAGACTTTGCTGTCAAAATGAAATAAGCGATCGGTAAATCTTTTTTTTTTTTTTTTTTTTTCTTCTTCTGAGAACATAGAATAGGAAATAAAGAATTTAAAAGAAATTCTGAATGAAGCCCTTGCTTTTCTAAAAATCGAAATTGTACTTTTCTACTATAGACACTAATTTAAATCTCTAATGACATAAAATATTTAATCGTGAGGATTTTAAATATTCTCATTTTTAAGGTGTTTAAATATGAGTTATTTAAATAGGAGACAAGTTTTTGGATTTTTTTAGTAACTTAATTCAAGTTTAATTTGTTTGTTTTCGAGAGAATTGAATTCTTGATTGTAGAAAAAAAGTTGAATTTAAATAATATTTTCGTACAAGGAATGACATTTGTCCTCTGTACAGTACGTTCGGTTGAGGTAGATTTTAATCTTTCTTCTGTTTTTCTATTCATTCAATACTTTAAAGCATTTAATTTCAATTATATCGTTTGTTTTTGTGTACTACTACGATAAGGAGCCGTTATTAACTACGTGTACAATTTAAGGGGTAAAAGGTCACGAAAACTATTGTACTATACAGTACACGATGGGGAGGGAATATCGAGGCATTATCTAAGTGAACTGTTTTAGTGGTATTAGTGACATATGGATTTCTTTTTATAAGCATATTTACTACTAGTGTGAATAAACTATCGCTTAGATAATATTTGCGGAACTTTTTAAAGTCATTTTTTTCAATGTCGGGAAGGGGAGGTCCATGAAACATTTACACATAATTAAAGGGGAGAGAGCTTGCTAGAAGTACGGTACATTACATTACTGTACGCAACAAGAGGAAGTGGGTTAAAGTTAGATCAAAAACTGTACACGTGATTATATGGAGTCCCCTGAACCCTCTAACTTCGATTAAAAGATGCAAAATATCCAAATTTCATTTCGACTTCTCACAAAAGAAAACAACTTTTTTAGTATAGAATCGTAAAATTTTATTACATTTTATTCATATTTTCTATAAATTTATTCGAGTTGATCTTTTCTCTTTCAAATCGAATTCATTCTTTTAAATTATGACAAGAAATTTCAAACATATACTTATTTTTTCGACAAATTTCAAACATTAATCACGTTAATTACGACGAGATAAATGTATGTCTATTATTGTTTTTATTTTGCTCCTAATCACTCATCTTCATCCCGGATACACAATGATCTACAATATTTGTTTAACCTTTATTAAATGTCAATATAAGATACTTTGTAATATCTTCTTCGTATTTTCATATTCGTTACTGTTTATAAGTAGGGCTTTAATATTAAAACATTCTTCCCTTGGTCGGATAGGCATTAGTATAAGAAAGGAATGGATTTACAGGAAAGGATGTGCATAATCGACAGAAAAATTCAAATTCAGATTGCTGAAGGGACTGTCTCGATTAATATGGAGATGGCATATCTAAAACGTAGCGTTTATTTATTAGATGAATTTTAATATATAAACCACGTGCTATAAGTTCTATTTTTAATTTTTTCAATTTATTTTCCTTTAAAATAAATTTCTATTCCACGGATACTGTTAAAATTAAACCAAAAAAATCGAAAAGTTGCTGGAATTTTTGCGAATTTTTATGCGAAATAAGTAGAAATTTGAATAATAAATATAATAAAGATTTAATAATTGTTAGGATTTTTATATAGTGTCAAAATTACGAGAATTAAAATGCTGATTAAATCAATAAATGTAAACAACAAAACTGATTAAAGGAGAAAGCCGAGCCGCCTTGTACTAGGGCATTGCATTGCGGATCAATAAACCCATATTTGAGGAATTTGTAACTTCTCCCGAAAGAAAAAAGTGAAGAAAAAAAATTGCGAGTAACTAATATTAAGTAAAAGTCTTTGGTAGAAGGCTGGAAAAGTGAATTTTCATTCGTCATTTCAAAGCAGTTACCGAACATTTATCGTTTCTTCAGTAGCCGCGCCTTAGCGAGAATACAAATGCTGCTGTCTGTTCGTTCTCGCTTTTCATCCATCGCCATCGTCCCTCGAGTAAATAAAATGACGTAAAGCATACTCACGGGATTCGAACTCATCGTCACTCATTCCTGGAGATTCGCCGCAACCGCTTCCTCCACCACATCCGGTCACGTGCTTGTCACGCGGATATACACCTTCCGAATCCTAACCGCGGATTCCGACTAATTGAAAAAGTTACGTTTTTGCGTTAGGATAGAGGAAAGACGACGGTGAAGACGGAGGGAAAAAATTAAGTAATTTAATCTCTAGGCGATAAACATTTCTCCCCGAGAAGAATAATTGATCAACAACTTTACTCGATTTTATTAAAGTAAGCCGTTCTGCTAGTCGACATTTCTTTTCTTTTGCTAGGGAAAAAAAAGTCATCCGGAGATGCGGGCTAACTAATTACACGTATTTATCCGAGAGGATGCGGTATAAATGCGGTTGCAATTATGAAGATGTCAATCTCCGGCAGAAAAAGGGGATAAGAAAGGCAGAGCTTCTTTCTCTCTGCAGATATTTATTTTCTTGTGTCGATGCTAGATCGTTTGGAGTTAGTAATTGGATTAAACTCTTTTCTATTCCATTTTATTTGCATTAATATTTTATCCGGCTGTCGGATACGTAATGTTGCAGAATGACAAAGAAGAAGAAAAAAGCTAGCGTCGAGAGACACTTGTCATCGCCGTCGCCATGTCAGTAAAACCCGTGATTAAACATCTAATCATCCGGTCAGTACTTACTCTTTAAGAGTCGGCAGCGGCGAAAGAAAGCGGGAAAAAAACCCTCACATATTTAAAGCTGGGAGAAAAAAAATTCTGCTAAATTCTTGCACTTTCTTTCTCGCTCTATTCCCTCAACCGCTCTTATTAAATTTGTAAAAGGCTCTCCCGCCTTCTGTATAGACCAGAAAACGTCGATGTAAGTGGGGCACTCTCCTAACGAAATTTCAAGCCATTTCTTGTCGGTTTGATTTCTTGCGTTTTTCTTTCCTACCTCACCCTAGAAACTCTTACCAATACGCTTCTCCATTCTCTGCTCGTCCCCACCTTCTCATTTAATTATTCACTTGATGCAGCCCATTCAAAGGTCTTTGCTATAATCTATTTAACCATTTTCATAAGCAGTTATCTCCACGCTAAAGCCGAAATTAGCCTATATTTTTCCCCTTTAACTCATTTATTCGCGTTGTAATCACGGTATAAATGATCTTTCCTCATTCTAAAGGTTCGAATTTGCCCTCGTCAAACAATTTTCCAAGCTACCTTTTTGTAGTTGTTTATCTTTTAAGTTTAAATTTGTTGTTTCCCTTAAATCGACTCTTTATCGTGTTACCAACGTAATTCGATAAAAAGTCTATTTAAAGCGTAACAGCATAACGTCTATATTCAATTTTAAGAATTTCAATAGAAGGAAAAGACCGCAAAACCTCTTCTTAGCTGGAATTAAACCATTTTTCGACTACGTCTAACTTGTTGAAGAAAAGCTGGCAATACTAAAGCGGTTTGATCCTAACCTAGAAAAAATTGACCCAGAGGAACGGGGAAAAAATCCACTAATTTTGGTTGATTCTCTAAATGCACCCGCAAATCCATTTTCTTTTGGAAATCAATAGAAAAAGTTTGATACAGAGTGTCCAATATCTTTCATCCCCCTGAACATGCAACTTGTTGAAGTGTTGCACAAGTTAAGGTGAGTCCCCGGTGGCTGGCTTTCCCTCCTAACTCTATTGTAGTATAGTGAAAGACGACATATCAGACTTTTGGAAACAATTCCTCCGTATATCTATCCAAAGACCAATTTCTTTTAAAAAACCAATAAACCCAGTCAGTAAGAAATACCTAAGGGGAAGATCAACCTTAGATACGATGGATACAGGAATCTAAGTTTTCTTAAGGATAATCTTACAGCGTCCACTTTCAAGTTTAAAATCCCAGGAGACGGCAGGTGTTGTGTCTGATAGTTTTTCCTTCTCTTCCTTCAGGTGTGCGGCAAGAACAGGATCTTTACGTCCGACTCATAGATTCGGTCACCAAACAGGTGAGTCAGCAAAATGGATCCTTCCTTTCTCTCCTATCATAATACCAGTTCTATTCCTCTTTCAGACCCTCTCTTGGACATTATCTAATTACCGATGAAACACGAATAATCAACTCTAAACTAATCAGCAGTTGGAAAGCGATTAAAATAAATCAAATTAGAGAAATGACGTGTTTCGTTTTCAACATATTTAAAACATTCGCCGAAATATTTTCAAAATTTTACCAAATTAATATATACATATATTTTTTAATTAAGATGCTATATTCTAGAGCTGCAATTTGAACTTATCGTGCGCTAAAAGTCTTCATTAATGATAATTAAGTATGATGTAAACCTAAAACAACACTCATCACTATGCTAATGTATAGAATATTCTTCTCTTCGAGACAAAGATGAATGTTTCTCTATTAATCAATGGCTAATCTCGATCATTTTAAAATTACTTAAAGAGATTGGCAATCCTTAGATCCGGTTAATCTTTAAAATTCGTCGTAATCTTCGGAAATATTTCTAGTAATTAGCATCGTCTTGGTCGTGTGAGTTAGTGGCAGAGACGAAAGTTGCAGAGGAAAAATTCGAAAGAAGGAAAAAAAAAGTCACCTTTAAAAATTAAAAATAAGAAAAATAATTTTCAGAAAATCTTAAATTAGCTTAAGAAAAATTATTTCTAACAAACTTAATGAGGTGTTGTAATTACATTTCTGGGAAAGATGACAACTTACGACGATAGTGACAGCGTTATTAATAACTGTGAATTAAATATAAATATTTCATGTGTGATGTCAGGAAGGTGTTAATGCGTTCATATTAATTCTTGTATTTATTCACTTACCTTTATTTCATTAAATTTGGCTTCTTTGGTCGTGATTGGTCGCCTCTTTTCTAAGATGCAAACAGCCTTGTTAAGACCACACGTGTGACAAGTCGGAGAATCTAATTAATTTGACTAATTAATTAAAGTTAATTTCTTTGGCACTCAAAATAATTATCCGAGTAAAAAACGCCATCTGTAACATTTATGAGAATGTGTAAATTTATTTGAAGCCTTCCCTTGACAAGCAATTGTTTTTAACTTTACATGCAACTTGCTCGTGTATTACGTCGATCCGGCCAAGTTAAAGCTCTTCAATCATTTTAAGGTTTGACTAATTAAAGTTTAAAATAATGCGAATTAATTATCAATTAAATATTATCCGGATTTATCGATGGTTTCTTTCTCCTTTTTTTCTAAAAAAATTAAAAAAAAGAAAACAATTATTTCATCTTCACAGTTGCGTGTGTTTTTAGCAAGAAATCCGCCAGTTTTCTTATTAAATGTTTGGGAATTTCTTGCATTAACTGGCATAAACATAAGATACATTCATGCTGTTTAATGCTTAAATTCCGATTTATCAATGGTCTGTTTTCCTTTCTTATTTTTATTTAAGAAAAAAAAAACGCTTCAGTTTCGTTGTTGCATATTCTTTTAGCAGAAACGGAAATGAATTATTGTTTATTTTTGAAAATATTTCGCATTTGCTGGCATAAATATACCTTAAACATTTATGCCACTTGGTATTATTAAGTTCTGTTTTAGATCTATCTATGGTTTATTCTCTTTTTTATTTTTATTTAAGGAAAAATGCATAAACTACTTCACTGTTGAGCATACTTTTAAGATATCGCTCGCCATTTTTCCTATGAAAATGTTTGAGAGTTTTCCTCATTAGCTGGCATAAATCAATGCCACTTAATAGCACAAATTCTGTTTCATACTTTTTAATAAATTTTGTTTTTACTTTTTTTAATTTTCTATTTGAAAAGAAACAAAACTTCAGCTTGATACTTGCTATGCTTCCAACAACTTTTAAGAGGAAGCCAATGTTTATTTTTGATAATTTCTAACATTAAATAGCATGAATATAAACTACATCTTTGTCATTTAGTGGATTAAGTTCTGTTTTCGATTTATCAATTGTTTCTTTTCCTCTTTCTATTTTTATTTAGAGAAAAATACTTAAAAAAAACTCTCCATCTTCGCTGTTGTACACATTTCTAAGAATTGACACTTCATTTTTCTTAGCTAAATTTTAAAGAATTTCTCATATTAAATAACAGAATATATACGAAATATTAAAGTATATTATAGAAACATTATATAGTACCAAAATCTAATAAATTTTCCAATTATTAAACTTCAACGAACTGTTAAATCGCGGTTTCATAATCTGTCAGATTAACTGATCCGAATAGGTAAAAATGAATAATTTTATTAATTAATTTCCTACGTAATTTGATAATCAGCTTATGCGTTTCTAATTAGAATAAACTTTTAATAGAAATTGATCAGGGATATTATAAAAATAAGTAATATTCAATCATTGTTACTATGAAACATTGGAATATTAAGAAGATTTGATATAGAATTTAAAAAATAATTCATTATCAACACTCGATAGAGAAAAGTATGCGATTGGAGAGTTAAATTCTATTTATTCGTTAGAACGTTAATGCACTCTAGAAAGCTATTTACAATGTACAGAGGATCAAAGAACATAGAATGCTGCTACAGTTTATTTTCTTCTTTAATTCCAGAGATGGGATGCAATCAGGAAAAAAAAAACAAATGTTTGCCCATCATTAACAGCATACAGAAGCTTTGTACAAAAGTTCTTTTCTTCACAATTTTCTAGTAATTTTAATCAATCTAAGTTAGATAATCCCTTTTTTTTTTTTTAAANACTTGTTTAAAATCACCATTTGGTATGGTTTTACTGCAATTTTTATAACAGGATTGATTTTTCTGAGGAAATTACCAAACAGTGATGTGCCTTTTTTTGCTGAGAAGTACTATGATATGGTTTATAGTTTCATTATTAGGCAACTACATAAATGAGGTTGTCTGAAAAGGAAAATTTTTATGCATGATGGAGTATCACTTTACATTGTACAATCATTGTAGCAGTTTCTGCAGCATTACTTTACTGAAGAAAGAATGATCAGCCACTTCTACTTGAATGTCCATGTCATTTTCCTAACATCACTCCATGTGATTTTTGGTTGTGGAGTACTGTAAAGCCAATATCTATCATGAAAGTGCTCTTAGCAGTCTTAAAGGACAAGATAACAATATATACAGAACATTTCTCCTGATACATTTCATTTAGCTGTTAAACACATTGACAGAATATAGTTTCAGATCCACAAAAATGGTGATTACATTGAACAGCATAAAATTCATCATAATTGAATAAGCTTTAATTTCATGTGTCATTTTGTTAATCATTCATGTGTAGTTTGTACTGTTTTCATCTTGTATATTATTCTGTTTTTGGTGTTTGCTGATTATGTGAAAAAATTCTTCCTGAATTCTTTTTCCTGGTCCTGAATAAATATAGCCATCAAATTTGATGACATTCAGATTGTTATATCAAGTGTCAGAAAGATCCGAATAGTAAAAATTTAATCATGACACCTGGCATGAGAAGAGGACTTATAAATAGGACTTATAAAAGACTTGTTCAAATTTAATCTTTTTGCAGTGTTTGTGACATTTTCTGCTGCATAAGTAAAATGTTTTGATTAATTTCAATTAATACAAAGCTAATGAATTTTGGGATAGCATTGATTTTTTTTAACCAAAAAATTTTATATCTGCATTATGTCTATGGTGCAGATATAAAAGTTTTTAGTTTTTGCATAGGAATATCAATAGGAATATGTTTTTATATAAAAATTAGCTTGCTTATTAATGTAGATATTAAAATAATTTACATATTCCTCTATTCTCATTACTATAAACTAGACATTCCTACATATTCCGTTATATGTTGATCTATCTATATAAGCTGAATATGTTGGTCTATATACTAGCAAACGTATATATTCATGTAATAAAAAAGCTATCAAAAAATAATATAAAATTGTTAGGAAGGAGAAAATATTTATTCAGTTTAATTAAATATTTGATTACGACGTAAATTAATAAAATAGTTTAGAGAATGTTGTCCTTTTTCTTTAGGAAATATAGAAAAAAAAAAGAATTTTTTAAAAAAGTATTGTTGCTAGAGTTAGCTGATTTGTATTTATCGACTTAGAAAAGTGGCAAGGAGACAAGCGAATGAAAAATGGGATCGAATCTGTAAACACAGGTGAAAGTCGGGATGATAATTTTTCAAAGCTTTAACTGTAGAAAATTTCGTAGCGCTTTTGATTAAAATAATCCTGAAGCTTGTAAAGTGGATGAAGCGATTTGATAATTTAAGTCTCGCTGACCTCCATTATCTAGAAAAATTCAAAATTACCATTTTCTATAAAATATTCAAAGTTATTCTATTTATATATTGTGTTTCCTATTACTAGAGTTTGAGTAAATTATTAAAATTCCATCGATTTTTCTCCAGTGTTATGCATGTGGTCAGGAAAGGAATACTCGCAGGGATCATTTTCAAACTGTTCACCATTTAGGCATAACTCGTAAAATGTTAAATTTAATTTCGGAATTGCCTATATAATTTATGTGCATTTATTTTAAACAGCTTAATTCCTGTCTTAAAGTAAAGTTAATAATTGACTACGTAAGAATGAAACAGAGAGCGATACGATAGTTTTAAAGAACGTGTCTAGTGATTGAAAAGGATGCCGTTTTAGCCACGGAAAATCGAGTTTCTACTAATCGACAAATGAAAAAGAAAAAGAAAATTTGGATCCGCAAACCTTTTTACTTCGTTTTGTAATCTTTGCTAACATCATTAGAAAAAAAAGAGTAAATGCTTTTCTACATTTCAGAGTCTTAAAAGGTCTCGGGTCATTTTTTGATCCTCGGGGAGACAAAACTTATTCCCAATTGGACCTTTCATAATGATTTCCTTGACACAAACCGACTAAGTCGCACTATAAAACAATTTAGTCTAATGGAATAAACGGACTTTGAAGAGGTTTTGTTGCAGTAGCCGTTGAAGATTTTCTACTCCGAGCAAAAGGTTCTAAATTTCGAGTAGTTGGTGTTGGGGGATTGATAGAGCCATTGTGATAACTCCGGGGACACATTTCGCTCAATTTTCTGCTTTTCCACGCCGCCGATCGGGATACGCTCTCGACTCGGGTCAAAGGTCGAATTGGACAGTTTGTTTAGGTTAGAATCGCCCATTATTTATGTCGGACGAGAAAACAATGTTCCCCTAAGGGGTGTAGGTAGATGGGAGCGGCGAGAAGCGAGACGACCGAAAATTCACTTTTGATTTCCAAGCTTGATCCTCCAGCAGACTGATCTTCATTAATCAGTCCCTCTTATTGAGTGTCGTTCCCATTACGGCTGGCCTGTGCTGAATAGCTACGATTAACATACCAATGGCCAGACTCCCTCTTTCGTTATGATGGCTTCCATCACGTGATGTGATTCACGTTGCCTCTTCGATGGAGGGAGAATTAACAAGACATAAACCCGAGATAAGGTGTCCCCTAGTATCCTCCTCACCTCCTCCTCTCGTAGTAGATAACTGGATGGTATTGTTGAAAGGTTGCACTTTCTATCTCGCTATAAAGTCTGATTTTAGCAAAGCATCGAATTCACAGAAGAAATAAGCTTTCGATAAATCGAAATTATTGATTTCTTTTCTATTAAAGTATTTTTCTACTCCAAAGAGAATTATGAGAAGTTTTCAAAAATTTTACAATTGCCCTTTATAAGTTTATATATACTTTTATATTTAACAAACTATGATATATCGCTTTATATCTTTCCAAATTTATAAGGAAAAAAATTTGTATAATCCTATAAACGATTGTGGAAACACAAAAACAATGTAAAGATAATAATCAAATAATTAAGACGAGATCGTCATCCCAATTATCTAATTTAGTTACAACTTTAATTTAATGTTTATAAACAAGACTTTGACAAACAATAATACCATTCGTCATTAATAATTCAGTAAAATATTTGTTTTGTCTTTGTGTTTACTTTTATTTTGCTTTTCTTTTAAGTAAATGTATTTTCTTCGTACTTTTCCCGATTAATAAATTGAATTCTGCAATTCAAACTATGGAAATCATTTAAAGAAAATTAATATGACTGGGAAGAATGTTGCAAGTGTAATTCGTCTAAAAGATTGAAGGCAAGGTCACGTCAAATATTATATTTTATTTATAGGAACAAACTGCATTAGACTTAGTGAGACAGAGACTAGCGAATAAATAAGTAATGATGATAACTTCATCTCTTTGTTAGATATTCTCTAGAAGTTCAGAAGTCTTTTTTTTTTTTTAAATATTTTTCAAGAAGAAAAAAGAATATCCATTTTTGCCATTCGCTTCCTTGTCTTTTCGGTCGTTAAACTTTATTGCATCCTCCGATTCTAACTGTTTTCAACTCCCGTGTCGAGACTCTTTATCACAATCAAATACTAAGTTTGCCGAGAATATTTGTGGTGTCAACAAGTTAATAAGTCTATTGGAAATTTAGAAAGTACAGAATTCTTTGTGCAGCTTTTGAAATATTAAGAAAGAAATTTGAGAAAGAATAAAATGTTAAAATGGCAAAGTTAGCATCATGGAAACGGGAGTGGAGAAGAGATAATTATATCCCCCGTTCTATGCCTAGCTGAGGCACGACAAGAAGTGGATGACATTTTGTGGTCCGCCCGATGGGATTGCAGCTTAGAAAAAGAGAAAAATCCACGTTCGCTCTTAACGATATTGGTCCAAACGTCGGAGACCATCCATTACACGGCTGTCTAGTCAGCTGAAGGACGAGACAGTCTCCAGCTCCTCCTCTATTTCAATATTTTTCCTTCCGCTCGAGCTGTGGTCGTATTAACCCCCGAACTGCGGCCGAACTTAAGCCTAATCGGCTGGCAGATCGGTGTGTCGAGGACCCACTGGTGGGGAGGCTTTGTTCCAACAGCCCAGGGACAAACAATTGGTTGCATTAAAGCAGACACACTGAGAGGTGGAGTCGAACACATGTCACTGATTTCTGTATCCTATACCTCCGTATGTACATTAGGTCTGTCGTCCTTCTGTCCCTCTGCTTGCTTTTCAATAGTACAAGTTGTCGACTGTGCCACCCACCTGTTACAACAGATGGTCGGCGAATACAATAAGTGAAGTGCCATTTGGATTGCGGTCGATCCGCATTGTATTCCACTTTAAGATGAGCGTCTTTGCTAATTTACTGATTTAGTTAAGTACTTTCTGATGGATTGCTGCCCGCTACATCTGACAACACCCTTACTATCTCCTTCTAACATCGAATGTGTATGCAAACAACCAAAGTAGCTTTCGACAATCTAAAGGGAGCTTTTCCTTTAAGCTCAGCTGCTATGAGGAGAAGCAACCTTTACAAGCGTTAACTAAAATAACACGAACTTTATAAAGATTTCGCTACGAAACTTCACATACTTTTTAATTTACAAATTTTCTGCGTCAAAGTTTAGCTCTAATTTAGTAATATTTCTCATTAGAATTTCAATTAGATCGCGAGAATATAGCATTTGCTTAAACTATTTAATTGAAATTAAACTAATCCTTCTTCAGATTATTTAAATAAGAATTCGAGTAAAGCTGTTAAGATTTTTCTTGATATTTTAATTGCGGCTAAATATAAAAATAAGACCTCTCTACATTAACAAATTTGAATAATTTTCTTCAGAATGATTTGAAACTTGTTTCTTCGACTCGATTTATTTATTTTATTCATAGACATAATTTTTATGTTTAATCAGTAAGCAAAAACAAAAAACATTAATCAGAATTTTCTTTACAAACAAACATCAACAATTTATCATGTTTTCTCGCCTGATGAGTTTTCAATGAAGACTCGATCTCTTCTCACATCACTATATTTACTTTAATTAATATAAAAGAATATCTTTTGAGCTGATTAAATTCATGTCTGATATTTTATTTATAAATTAAGAAAATAAACTTTAGTATTTTATTTAAAATTCAATATTTAAATAGCTTTTCCATGCGTTTTTTTTTAAATGTATTTATCTTATGGGAACGTCGATTAAATATTTTATTTTTCATAAAGATATTCTATTAAAAATGTTCGTTTTAATAAATATTTTAAAACATTTTCAGGCCATTGTCTACGAGGGGCAAGATAAAAATCCAGAAATGTGCAGAGTTCTGCTGACTCACGAAATCATGTGCAGGTAAATAATCTTGTTGTTTTTCCCATCATTTTATTAAGGACATATATATTTGGTAAGACGTTTTAGAGAATTTGTGGAAGAGGCAAAGGCGTTTAGATACGGATGATGATGATGGAGATGTGCAGAGAAATCTTGCAATGTATCCTCTCTCGACTAGAATAACCGTAACACAAGCAATGACCGGAGACAGTACGCCCCTCGGTGATGGAGCTAATCATCCAACCGTCTGCCACTCCGATGACGCCATTTATGAATAATTAACAGACAGAAAAGCAGATTACAGTCCTTTTCTAATGGCTAGCACTGTTGCAGAATTGTTTTCTTGTTTTCTCTTCACTTTGTTATTCTATTCCAATGGGATGTTCAGGGGATTCTCCAGATATTTATCGTGATAGATTTCTCGAGTAACTGTTTTAAAATTTCATTTACTTAATGGAAATAAATCGTCGCGATGATTAGATAATAAATCTGAATGGATAGAATTCGGGAATAATTTATTTACTAAAAAAATATTTTGTATGCAATTCCATGATTGATAGCCATGTCTGAAATTAGTTTTCTTCCTTCTTTATCGTTCTAACATGTTAAATAGTTTTATAAATTATATTAAAACCATTCGAAATTTACCCTCGAAGGACTAAAAATGCTTCCAAATATTAAAACAGTGATTTATTTTTATATAAAGAGAGATAGAAGATTCCCTTTAAAATTCGAAAGTAATTAAATCAATAATCAATAAAAGTTTGCAAAGCAATTAATATGTAAAAAAATTGAAAAACTAAAAGAGCGATTGGAAGAGAGAAAATGGCGATATAAAGTTTAAATCATTAGGAATTTACTATTTTGAAAATTTCATTTATGGCATCCACTTATCGATGTCAATGTTACGATGATGAAGGAACCTAACATGGTATCAAATGTAATACTTTCTAATCTCAGAAAACAAGAGAAACAGGTAATCTCCTTAACCAAAAGGACTGACTGTTATTAACATACGTAATGACATTCATTCATCGCGTTCTAGAAAAGCTGAAAATTCCCTTTAGTTAACAACTAATAGATCATCGGAATACATTCTTAAAATTCAGATTCTTTCTTTAACTCGAGGCCAGTAAGAGTTTTCTTATATATATATAATTAAAGAAGAAATTTAGAAGAAATGAGTTAAACAACCTTCTCTATCAGGATGTTGCTAGCATAGTCGCACTTCTCTTTAACCCAAACCGTTCATTTACAAATTTATTGTGCAATTTAGTCAGCCCTCTTCTAATATCCACTAGCCTTCAGCTATTAGATCCGAGTAATTATTTCCACCACGCCACTCCACCTCCAAGATTTTATTTACACTTGCCGTAAGTCAGTAAGGAAGTAGGAAAATCGAGAGGGGAAGGAGAAAGAGGCAAAAAAAAGTTCGTCTCAAATATAATAGACCCAAAGGGGTGCGTTTAATTACGATAATAGATCCCGTTAGTCGAAGAACAGAAAACGATTATTCAAACAGGTTGTGCTGGCAACTGGATCAACATTTTTTTTTTCTGATGAATTCACTCGCTACCATTATTGTTTTGCACTTAAAGTATTTTTACGCTTTTCCTGTTCTATTAATTAATTTAGATATTTTCAAATAAATAAGTTTTGATATTATTGCTTCAACTAATTTGCATTTGTGATTATTTTACAGTCGGTGCTGTGATAAAAAGAGCTGTGGAAATAGAAACGAAACTCCTTCCGATCCTGTTATCATTGACAGGTAAGTTATACATTTTATTCCCGTCAATCTCATCATTTTTCATCGTTTTAAATCGAAAATTTCTTTGATTTAAAAGCTTTTCTGTATTTAAAAAATTGGTTGACGGTATCGAGTTGTATGTAAAAAACTCAAGATACTTTATTATATAAATGAACCTATACTTTTACATATACTTAGAGTGTTGTAAAGATTTTTTTTAAATTATAAAATTTACTAAAATGAGAAAAGTAGAAATAGTTTATTTTGGTTGGATAAAATTCGATAATATTACAAAAGCATCGTTTCGGGAAGTGAATCAATTTTAAGGACAATGCCGATGTGAAGTCTCTTAAGAGAAATATTTATATAATAATAGATGTTAGAGCAGAATATAAAGAGGAGGTATAGCCTGTTGAGAAACAATCAGCGTCATCTGAAGAGGAAGAGCATAAGCCCAAAGATAATGAAGTAGTTATCTGCGGACGGCGTTCAGGGTTAGAGGCAGTCGAACAGAGATTACAGGCAATGGCGATAACGTATCTCTGGCCCACTCTATTGTAAATCCGGCAGCCAAGCATGGGACAAAAGAAAAGGGGTCAACAGATGGTCCAATCGAACTCCCATTTTTCTCTTCCCCCTTATTTCGCTTCCTGCTGGTTTTGTCCATTTCGTGCTCTGTCGCCTACCTCGACAGATGTGGGCATCGCTTGTCCCGGGCCTTTCTGACTGCTCATTATACGGCCCAGGATTGTTAATAGGCAGAGAAAGCGGCAAATCTGTGGGAGGCTGCACTGTTAGCTCCGAGCTAGTAGGAAACTTAAACCTAACGAGGCGACCCAATTAGTGGAGTCCGTTCGGTAAACATGCTGCACACAGTATGTATCATTGTATGCACTGAGAGATGTAGAGAGGATTATAAAGTTTGTTCGTAACATCGAATTAGTCATTTCCTAGTTGATTTTATACAGGACATACCGAGTTATTTCGGAATGACTGACCCGGAAAATGATGTAATGGTCTTTGAAGTGCCCGTTTGTTTATCTTCATCCAATATACTAAGAATATATTTCTCTCTTCTAAATTAGAATATTTTACTTTGCTCTACAATTTATCGTACTTTATTATATTAGAGTTCGAAGATTTTAACTAGTTCTTACTCTATTTTTTCTGAAAAAAGTTTTATTATGAAGCTTTTATTCCTTCAACAAAATCATTTTAAAAGTTTCACTGTAATTTATAAAACGGTTAGAATATCCTTAGACTCCAAATAGTGAATGTTCGTTTCTTCTTTTAGAGTTCTGACATAGTTACAATTCAGTAACAATACATCAGAGAAGAGAAAAGTCAGTTTGCCAATCGACAAATGAACTTTTGCTCCAGTCGATGGCAATTAAGAAAGAAAGACTGGGAAAAAGGAGGGGGCAGAGTTAGAAGCGTCCCAAGAGATGCCGAGGGACCACGTATCGGACTCACACTCCGTGACCTGGACTACTCCTGGTCCAGGAGAGATAAAAGCGGACTTGGACGCAGTAGTAGTTGCAAATCGGTCCCGGGTTCGCGATATATGGGTCCTTCGGGAAATATAGGGCCTCGTGCCCCCGAGAGAGGATGTAGGAGGCCTAGTATGTGAAAGAAAGTAGCGCAGTTTTTCAATATGTCTTCGAAAAAATGTGTTGCCATAACTGGGAAACTGCCTGGTCAGATATAGAATAAACGGTTTATATAAAAATAGCTATTCTATTCTATCAGGCCAAACATGTGCTTGCCTGTATTTATCGCTTTAAAAAGTGGTCCTATTTACTTTTATTCACTTTAACATCCAAAAATTTATTCCCTTCAGAGCAACCGATAGGTGCTTTACTGGAAACAACTGTTAGCTTTGATAGCAAGACAAAAATTGCTCGATTCGATTCCCTTATCCTGTCGAGAATCTTTCTTTTTTCTGACTCGCAAATATCCTCGTAATTCACGTTGTTTTTTATAGATTAAAATTGCATACGACGTTTTATATATATATAAAACCTGGCCACGAATAGACAAATCTCTTAAAATAAACATACATTCCGCGAGAGATAACTCCGGAAATGGAAAAGAAATGATATACTATTAGCAATGCAAGTAATGAAATTCAGTATATGGCTCAGATCGATGTGATCGTCTTTGGCGCCAACGTTAGCTCTGCAGACAAACGTAACGATTTAATCAGTTAATTGTGCTGTCGTAAAATGCAAATTGTCGAACAGAATTCCGGAATGGAAAGTCATGAACACTGGCAAGGTTCAGTTCGAATACTCTTAACATCGATAAATCTATATCTTAAACAACCCGAGGGTTCCTTGCAATTACGAACTGCAACAATTCTCTTTAAATAAAAGCCAGGTATGATCCGTCATTTATAAACGTAGAACAAATCAAATAAACCGTAGTCTCGTCATAAACACGGTTATTTATTGGAGCTTAAGAGAATATTCGCAATTAGCCGAGATGAAAAGAAATATATATATGTATATAAAAAAACTGACTTCTTTCGGCTTCATTCTTATTAAATCAGCTTTTTAGTAATAAAGTGGATGTTTAATGCAGCGATTCATCCTAACCTATTTGACTATGTAATTCGATTGGTAGCTGGCGCTTCTCTTTAAATAGTCATCTCTAAAAATGACAGATTTTCTCCATTTTAAAAAAAAGGAGAAAAGTTGGGTTGGATGTTTTTTGCTAGCTTTGAGTGGAGAGGCTGAGTGACGGACGATGGTGACGGCGAAGCACTCAGCAGCCTGGTCTTCCTAAGTCCAGAACATTTTCTCTCTGGTTGCCGGCTCGACTCCTTCCCTAATCCCATAACAACGGATTATTGTCAAGATGGCGACTTAGCGAAAGAAATCGATGTAGTCGTCCGACTAGCGGGAATAGACAGACAGATGGTGAGAGAGACAGAAAGAGCAAATCCGGACGAGAAACCAGAATGGACTTTGTTCAGTTCCGTAACAAGAGGTTTTGTGTATCACCAGATTATTATATACGGCATTCCATTATTTATAATTCAGTCGGATAAAGAACTGAACAATGGAAAAAATCATCATCCGTTCCATTGTCAAAACCCTAATCGAAAGCATAAAACCGAGAAAAAATCACCATTAAATATGTTGAAATTTTTAAAAAAGCGTATTGGCTCGACCCCTATTTAAATCTTTGTCGAACAGCTGTAATAATCCAGAATTGGTCTCGATACGGGTGAATGTTTTAACGTTAAAAGATTTAAAGAACGAGGACAGTTTTATTTTATGTCTACCTTCTTAATTCTATTTAAACAAGTTCTGGCAATCTGCAATCTCCCGGAGAATTCCCGATCGTGGAAAGAGACCTATCATCAGTAGCAACTGTAAAAAGTCCATTTAATCCGCCTAATTACAAGTGACGCTAGCACAACTGACAGATGGCTCTGTTGGGTAATAAGGGAGAAAACTAGTTTGCCATCTGACTGTATGTTGGCGTGCACGCCTAGTTGTTGTGGATGAAGGGCGTACACCCTCGTTCCACGTGGCCCACCCCATCTTCCTCACCGATACAATAATATTATATTCGCACCTGTTTTCGATGATAATTGACTGCTTTTTTGATTTTACGGCTCTCTCCGTTAATAATTAATTGCAATATTTATCTATCCATCTCTGCTTGTGTAACCTATTATTTTTCTTATTGCATTTAAAATTAGAAAAGCGTATTAAAGTTTAAATGTAACTTACACCGTTCGGGATCTAAATTAATTTTCTTACACCCGGCAATTGATTGTTTTTTTTTAGCTCAACGATTCATTAATAATGGCGATTTATCAATTTTTTATCCTTAATCGAATATTGTTTCTTTTATAGAAAAACGCCTTATAAAACCTGCAAGATTCACTTTTCTAGTTTTTTTAGTCTCGAAAACATTAGATTAGGAAATAACCCTCCGGTCACGCGACCAGTTTATATACATAATTGACAATTTAGTCGGGGACCGGGAAGAGTCGAAGTGTGAGTCATCTAGTGCGCCCTACACCTGTCACCCTACACCCCTGATGGCGGTCTCAACTATCTCACCTCGTTACATCGTCCTGCTCAGCGACTGACTGGCTACATTACCAGAGACCATATTGTACTAGGTCATCAGGTAACCGCATTAGAAGGGGACGGCAGGAGAGAACCTCCCCTATAAATAAATAACTGCAGCAGACGGACATCGCTGGATAGGCTCTCTTCGTCCTCTCTCCCCCTTTCCAAAAGCCCCCTTACTGCTTCTAACTTATTGCGAGCCTTGGATACACAGTCCAGTTTGTGATGAGCACTCTAAAGGCTTTCAACGTCGCCTCTCTACCACTCTTAATGAACTAAATGGAATCAATTCGATATCGTGCGGACCTGTAGTGACTTAATTCTGTTATTGGTCGCTCTGTGCGTGTGACGTAAGCCCTCTCCCTGATGGACAGCTGGTCTCCGGGATGCTGGCTCCACGGCATAGTGGTTGATATATACAGTAACTTGCAATCAAGTGGTTATTTTGGAGTGTGGCTGCTGAAGAGCCTCCTTCAGATAATCTGATAGGGTGATTTATATGGATTAAAGTTGAAAAGACCCTACAAGTGTAAATATATCGAGCCAATTCGTATTCAATTAATTTCTGTTTTGCATTTTACAAAAATCTTTGCGGGTTTCATCATTACATCAATTTATTTTTCATATAAACTTGAAATTTGATGAGCATCTTTCAAAAAGTTATTGTTTACTTTTTATTATTTTTTTAAAATTAAACAGTAAATTATGTAATCAGACGAATATTCAATTTATTCTATAAAGGAAAAAATTTACATTAGAATTTTTACTTCATTTAAAATCCAGGATGATTCTTAAATTAAATTTATTTAAATGTAAGAAGCATGTGAAAATTCTTGTTGTAGATGGGAGGAAGATACTTTCGACTTGAATTTCTCAACATGTGCACACGAATTAACCGCCTTTAGAGCAAGCAATTTTTCACTTGTTTTA